GACCATTGCCGATTCATTTCCTTCTCTCTAGTCCTCATAGTCACTATCAAAGATATCGGATAATAGATACGCCTTGTATACATTACACTTGTCCGCTACTTTTTTTTGACGGTACGCTCTTCCTATGTTGTCAGATCTCTTTCATCAAATATCAAACATTAAATTTTTATTTAAAAAGTTACTATTACCTTTAATACAATCTAATAAAAAAAAGGAAATAAAGAATTGAAAGCATCAATATGAGTTTTTTATTAATTGCAATCACTTAAGACTTTTAAGTATCTATTTTTACATGTGTATCATATGGGAATATTAAACATTTTGGTATAAATCATTTAACTTTGGCAACCTAAGACATTTTGCTGATGTTGTCAAAGTGACAGATCAAGTTTTATTGTGATTTTTGTGGTTTTTTGTAGTTTTCAAGAATAATTTAAACCCTGAACTTTTTATTAAGGACTTTTACGATGGGGAGGAAATAAATAGTGTGCCGAAATACGCAGAATAAGAATGTTATTCGGTCATTTCATAAATAAGATTATGTTAGCATAGACGTAGGCATATACAGGGAATAAGGCTTAATTTATTTAACAGTGTAAAGGCATTTAGCACTAGCATTGTTTATTTAAATAATAATGTTCTATATTTTCTGATCAGGTTTCCTAGAGAAATTATTCAACGTAGAATTTGGCTGCAAAATCTATGCTTGGTGGAGGAAAACATTACGAAAATGAAAGAAAGCCTTAGTATATGTTCTGACCATTTTTGTATGGCAGATATTTATGAAAATTTAAGTGGTAGACACATCTTAAAACATAATGCTATACCTATCAAGTAAGTACAGTATTTATTATGGGTATTTTTATTATATGTAAACTCTAAAATTATACAGTAATCATCACATTTTACAGAATTTTGGGAGAGGTAGTTGAAGAGGCGAAAAATGAAGAAAAAAAATACTTTTTTTTAGTGCAGTTCGTAACGGATGCTTCAATAACAAACTCACATGGAGATTGTTTCAAAATTGTTATAAAAAATTATTAATTCATAATGAAGTAAAGTCAAATAAAATTGCCAATGCAATTGCTTTAGATGGCACCAGCATCTTCGATTGTAGCAACACTAGTAGCCAAATTGCGTTAAATTTAAAATGTTACGAATCAGACACTAAAGAAAATTTGGAATTTACAAATGAGCTTCGTGACCATGATTACCTATCTATATATTTTCTGAGCGAATACATTCAGGATGTAGTTGCTTTTATTTCTGGTTTTATAGTAAAATCCTTAAAGAAAAAGATTCACTGCAAACAGTGTTCTGCAATTGAACCAGTGAGTTCGAAAACCGTACAAGTCCCAAATTTGACATTTCAAAATAAGCCATTTCGTTTAAAATTTGTCTCTTCATCGATGCACTATTTCAGTGATGATGTAATTATGGTTCCACTGACAATTAAAGTGACAGTAGATTTTTGGAGTGCGTTTTGTTCGTTTTGTTTACCTAAATTATATCGTTTTTTTCACTTTTATAAATATATTCCTAAAGTAAGTAGATATAGCATGTATCAAATATACAATCGTTTAGTTACCAATTATATACCTTTAAACTATTTTTTATGACCTGTAAACAATATTTTGAAATAAAATAAAAATAGTGAAAACGTATATGTTAAATTTATTGATGTTTTTGTTAAAAGTTTGGTTAGAATTAAATGTCAGTCGAACCAAAATGACATCACACTGAACTAGCGCATTGAGCTTAATAAACCGTACTAGATACCTAGCTGTTAATGTAGTACAGCTGATTATACCCGTGAAATTAGGTGAAAAACCGTACATATCTGCGACTCGTACGGCTTTTCATCTCAATTACAAAATAATGGTCAGTTGATATGGTCAGTTGGAAAAACACAAATAATGAAAATGAAAATTACATAACTGAGATAACAGTTTTGATATTGTATTTTTCCTCCTTTTTGTTTAAATATAAAATAAATCTTTTCTCATCGACAGACTTTCTGTCTCAACTGTCAAAGGTGCTACTTTCTGTTCTTAATACACAAATAGCTATTTTGTCTTTTATTCCAAAATATGCTTTACAAAATATCAGTTATCTTATAACACTAAATAAATCTATTGAGCAGATTCTTCACCAAAAGTGTTTGTAGGAGTAATCATGATAGTAAAATGACATTCGAAATGTCACAAAAGAAGCTTCCTTTAGTGTTTTTTCTATTCGGACAAATTAGAAATAAAGTATCTCTTGATAATCTTAAGCTAATGTGTTTTAGCCTTGTCCAGATATTATAAAATCATTGCTGATTACTGTCCTAAATGAGTTATTATATCATTACACAAATAATTCTAAAAATAGGTGTCGTGACATGCAACCCAAATGGTATGTAATAGAAAGATCATATTTGTATATTTATGTACCTGAAATAAAATTGTTCTGTTTTTAATAGCTTTTTATTTTATAAAAAAAGGTAGTCCGGCAATATAATTATTCTTTTTTCGACCTGTAATAAAGGTTTTCAAACAGTACCCATGTAAAAATAATAATAAATGGTTTTATATTTTTACTTGCTCTTTGCTCTTCATGTATTTAAAAAAATATATATAATAAAATACTAACAAAAATGTTCTTCCACTTTAAGCTACCTACTATTTTAATCTATAAGAAAAAATATAAAATGACTTTTTGAATGTCCTGTATAAATTGAATATGTTTTCTTTAAATTTAGCTTTGATTCTGAAGACCCATATATTATTGATTTGGTCATTAAATAATTTTTACTAAAAATATATGTAAACCCTCCCGAAACACTACGTCAATGTGCGACGTACGATTCCCCTTTCCCCGTCTAGTAAAACATGCGGACAGAAGGTGTATTGGGTATACAGTGTGTAGGGCGAGTCTATCTTAGATAATATGATGTCTATGGTCACTATCTACAATAGTGGTATTTGACTGTAGTGTTGCTGTTGGCAAACAATTTTTACACACAAAAATCATTCGAAGAAAGGGACCGAGTATAAACTGAAATTAAAGGGTAATGACACAACCAAGAGCACCTTTAAGCTCAGTTTAGGTTTAGTCCCATTCCTCTGATGATATTTGTTTGTAAAAAATGTGTCTGCAAACAGCAACACTACATCTCACTCTAGGCATGCTAAAATTTCAAATTATTTCAGAGTATAAACAAAATGTGACCTGAGTTTGGCTCGTAAGGGGGAACCATAACCCAAAATGTTTAAAATAAATCACACAATAATATTTCTTTTTAGAATTCAAATAAAAAGTAATTCATTTGAAATTTTATGGAAATTATAACATGATTTTTCCTTGCTGTACCGATATTCTAAAAACTAGAACATAGTAGTTCATAAATAAAAATATAAACACCACTAAATATTATTAAAATATAAGATTTTTTTCATAAACTAATGTACGAACAAAACAAAAACATCTTTGATTTTGACATATTGTTTTTTAAATATTCGTACTAGCAAAATGGCACCCCTAGGCAGAGCCTATTTCATACTAGCAGTGGCCTGAGGTGGGAATAGAAACAGTAATGTTAAACCCATCAATTAAATATTAAAAACTTGTAAAGTAAAATTTATTTAAATCCCAATGTCGATTGGTTAAAAGTTTTTAAAAATCAGAAAAAATCGAAGTATAAATGGTGTCTGCATATACAGAGTGAGCCACTTTTAAAAGAGTCCACCTTGTTATTTGGCAGTATTCATTGGATTTAAAAAAAAATTTAAACAGGTCGGTTTTTATTTCAATGTAGACACAATTTTAAAATACAGACATCTGCCATGTGTCAACCCCCTTCCACTTCTCCAACCCTTTAATTTTAAATAGGGAATATACCATGTGATGCATATGATCACCTATGATCATCAATGACTTTTTTGATATGAACTCCATATGTTTGTAAAAAAGTTATCCACATCGATTTTCAGAGAGTTCGAAAGAAATGCTTCCTTCTCTTAACTAAACTTTTCTTTAGCATAAAGCGTAATAATATTAAATAATAATCTTTCTATGATTTGCTCCATCACGAGTCATCCCTGAGATTCTCATCAACATCTGATGACACAATTCATGAACTTGGTTAGATATATTGTATAGTCTTTAAACGGGTGCCCTACTCCACTGGTTCAAATGAAAACATATCTTAACCTAAAAATACTTACCGATGAAAGAATAAATTTCGATTTAAATGATCTACCTTATTGCACACTACACATGCATGTACCATAATTCTTTATATTTCCCACAAAAGTTCACAAAAATAGTATTTTATAAATGAATAAATCAATAAGTCACACAGAAACTGTCAGAAACACAAAATAGCCATTAGACCCGATTGGCATCGTTGCGGCTGGTTACAGTACCTACATTTCATTCATAAAAATAGGTACTAGTTGTAAATTCGTAAAATAAGATATTCGGCGTTGCGTATTTACCGTGTTTTTTGCAACCCTAATATTTCGTTCAGATTAATATTGACTTATAATACAAAGTTTAGTTTATATTAAAAATTTAAAGAATAATTTGATTAAAAACATATTTTTATTTATATAATATAAAATTATAGTTATAGGATACATCAAATTTTATTTTTTGAAAGTAATTTCTCCAATTAATTTTTACAGACTGATAAAACCGGCAAAGACGCAATAAATGAGAATCTGGTGGGAATAATGATTTGCCGAGGGCTATGGATTTGCCACATAAAAATGTAAACAATTTGGTCTCAAAGTTGTAATGTTTTTGGTGAAACATAATTAATGGGTTAAATTTAAATATTTTATGTTGAACACAATGAAAATAATATTTAAAAAAAAACGCTTATACATTTTCTATAAATTGGCAGGCTTGGCGACTACTATTTCAAATAAAAATAGGGTCCAAGATGGAAGGCTATGTCGCAACCTCCTTAGATTTATGAACCCTTGCCACTGGCAGCTATTGTTTGACAGATTGTTGGAATGCCTAATTGACAGTAGACAATAATTATTCCAATCAGCTGACAGAACAGAACCTTCTGTCTATCATTGTCATACAAACAATAGTCAAAAAATGGCTCCAGAAGAAAAAAATTAAAAAATAACCAAAAAATGAGTCATGGAACTTGGTCAAAATCTAAACCAGTGGTTAGCAACAAATCTGAAACGTCTGTAGTGTCGATCAAACAATCGGTCCTGCCATCACATCGAAACACCCACGATCAATGCCAATCTCAATCCAAAGTTCCAAACCGCGAATACGCTAAAAGCGAGAAACGTGTCAAAGATGATACCAAGATGAAGGTGGATTTAAAGGTGGCCATTTTGGATAAACGATACCCGCGAATTATACTTACTCGGGATCAGGTGCGTCTGTTGGAAGACAAACTAGTGGAAGCTTTAGAGACCGGACCGGCTTCCAGTGTAAATTTGAGATTCGACGGAACTGATTTCAACGAGGGTTTGTAACTTAAACAGATTTTCTTTGCATTATTTGAATTATTATTTATTTATTTATTTATTTGCATTCCGTCACATTGTGGGTGGAGTTGTCGCAATATTTCCCGATACGACAATTTCGTTACCCTTCACCCCGCTGTATCCGGTGATCCAAACAAAAGCACGCAACTATATTTTCCCCACGTGGCTTATTCAGTTCTTCTAGACACCTCTAAACCATTTTTGAGCTAATTGTGTGAGAACTCAACACTTTCGTCGCTGCTTGACTATCGGACATGATAATAATTTCTTGTCTGCGATTTTTTTTATCGATATTGAACTGAATACATCTCTCAATAGCGTGTGTTTCCACCTGGAAAATGCTTGAGTATTTACCAAAACTTTTAAAGTACTTGATTCTAGACTCGTACACTTCTATTCCAGTTTCTTCTGTGGTTTTGAAACATCCGTTTGTACATGTTTTTCAGATGCAAACATGATTGATTCTTTGTTCCATTCTTTCTTGCAGCCCAGGTCTATGGTTTTGAAGTTTTTCACAAAACTACTTATTTCTCATTTCGTGTTGGGGCATATCTCGTATATCTATTGTCCTGGAACCAATAGACTTCCATCCTGATCATTCTAAATCTTTTTTGCCACGTTCTTAACGCATAAATGTATCTAGAGGTGTGAGGTCTAATATTACTTCCATTGAGGCCGTAGGACATGTTCTCATTGCACTGATGATGCAAACACAAACTAGCTAGTTCTGTAACTTTGATATATTAGCTCTCCTAGCAGCTTGACTAGTTGTTACCCCAGGCTACTGCTCCGTAAGTGATAATTTGTCTCATTATTGTTGTATACATCAATTGCAGAGTATACGGGTTACATCCCTATTTTTTTTCTCGCAATGTTTTTGATACCTGCATATCATTAGGGCTTTTGTGGCCTTTTTATTACTGAGGCCCTTCCTATGGGGCCTCAGTATTGCATTCGTGCCCCCATACCCCCATTTTTTAAAACATTTTTTTATGTTTCCGATCATTCTGTACGAAAATGCAAAAAATGTTCATCTGGTTGTCCGTGTCTATGTATGCCGGCACAATAACTCTAGAACGGAAGTTCTGATTGAATTACGGTTTTGATTTTCTTGAATAATTACTTCTAACTTAGAACCCTATTGATTTTCAGAATTTTCGGTTCATCCTAACTACTTTAATATCAATTTTCTTAAAATCCGCCTGCAATTCTTATGTGACAATTTTAGGACTTCCAATTATAACGTTAACATTCCTAACATTCACAACACTCCATAAATTGCAAACATTCTCTAACGACCTGTCAAACAACAGCTGTTGATAGTAAAGGTGAAATTTCTAAGGCGGGTTGCGACCTTCATACTTGCAACCATATTTTGAAGGCTATTTTTATTCGAAATTAGTCGCCAAGCCTGCCAATTTATGAAAAATATATAAGCAGTTTCTTAAAAATGACTTTTTTATAGTGGTGCTAACTGAAGCGTACTTCTATTTCACCCCTAGCCACAAAGACACTATCAAATTTACTGGCTCTCTGTCGGAACCCCATAGAATAATTAACCGGCTATTTTATTTGGCAAAAAGCAGAATAATGCTTGGCTGTGCCTGTCAAGTATCAAGATGTCAACTGTGATGTGTGAATGGCTCTTAAATATCAAATTATTTAAAAATGTATGCATACTTCTTTTGATATTTATTGCAAATAATTTGTAGTGTATCTCAATTCAGGCTTTCCATAAATAAAGGTACAGCAAGACAAATAATGTAAACTTCTTATACAAAGCACTTTTTTATTATATAAAAGAGAGTTAGGATATAATGCTGGTTTTTTGTAGATAATTTTAATTATACAGTTTTGGATTACATATTCAACCAGCGAATTGTAAATAATAATTGGTAAAGTCATTAATTCATAAAATTTGAATCTTCCTACCTTGGGATTTTAATGACGTAATGTGATCAACCCATTTCAAATTTTGATCAATTATGATACCGATGTATTTTGTTGCGTTGTCATTTATTTGTATGTTGAAAGAAGGTCTTTGTAAATTACATTGCTCTCTATGGATCTAGTTTAACACAAAAATAGTTTTGTGGGTATAAGTTGCTATAACCTATCGTCGCAAAACTATTAATAATTTGAACATAGTAAATAGTAAAACGAGGGGTAAAATAACAATAAATTAAGGGAAATACTTAAAAAGGGTAGTTTTAAAGAGTATTATCACAAGAAAGTATATCCGTTCTGTTTATTTATCAAATATTGTTTGAGGTTACTTTTGAATACATTTATTGTTGTTTTTTTTTTTTAATTTCTGTAGGCAGTCTATTAAATTTTTTAAACTTTTAATAAAAATTGTATTTTGGGAACTTTTAGTGATGGCTTGCCGTACATCAAAGTTAGATTGGCTTCTTGTATTATAGTTGTGATATTGTGAATTATATTGAATTTTTTCTTATAGATCTGATGCGATGGATTTATGTCATTTTTATTTTATAAATAAATATTAGCCAATTTATTTATTTTAACATAGCTGCAATACTCATCCTTCTGTCCTTTATTAATAGAATATAAATAGGCGAAGTAAGGAGCCCAAATATTTTACGTGAGCAGGCCTAAGGGGCCAATTATTATTGGATAAATTGCTTGAACAAGTTTTTAAACCCTAATCAAAAGGCGATATAGAATTGTTTTAAAAATCAAGGCTTGTGAAAATCATCACATGGTTTAACCTAAGTATTGCCAATGCTTCACAAAACAAAAAAATCAACGTCCTAATACTACTATCAGCTTTCGGTCTTTCGTTCCAAGTTAAATAATTTCTCGTTTTTGTTACGTTACGAGTTTACCCTTGTGGGGCTCAGTCTCGATAAGGTGGGAACCACCATTTTAACGTCTCTCGAATTTATTACTATATTCTCATGTATATTTCTGAGAAGTTTATTCTCCAGAGTTAGGCCTATATTTTTGACCTCTTTTTCCATTCTACATATTCCGTGTATTTTAATTATGATATGATAAGTTCTCTTTTCCTTGTAGTTTTATAAATTAGTAATATATAACATCCTTCAAATAGTCCTTAACTGTTGGGTCGAGAGGGAGCAAATGTCTGTAAACCCACGAAATTCTGTTGCTTTTGAAGAGAATGTGTAATATCTATCGTGTTCTGAACTCAAATCAATCTTCCATTAGTAGATTTTTTGCTAAAACAATTTTGGTAAATGTGGGAAAAAAGTCATTAGTAAAATTATGGTTTGTTTTTGGCCACACAGTTATAGGTAGGTATAGCCACCAGTTACATTGGGTTTCATTTGAAAGGTAAATGCTTCTTTATCTGTACTTGTAATAGGTGTCTAGCTAGGTACACAATACTGGATCTTTGTAGACACATCTAGTTGTCTATTAGTATAATCTTAAATATATCATAGATGGGATTGGAATATGATGTATTTTCAGTGTTTCATTTGGGATGACAGTTTTGAGTGTGAAGTGATTTTTTAATTTCCTGATATACCTAATAAAAACACCTATACATCTCTTTTAGGTATAATGTGGTTATCTTGCGCCAACGAAGCCACAAAAAACTGGCTCAAAGACAGAGTAACGTTGTTCGGCAACCTTTGGGAAGATTCGCAATTATCGGCCGTCGACTCCAAAAATATTCCCAAAAGATACAAAATACGCATCATTTTGAAAGACAGTGACGACGAATCCGATATCAGAAATCGTCTTCTGCGTCAAAATTCCGGATTGAACGTCAAAGACTGGTTCATGCTGGAGAGATGCATTGAAGGTGACGATTTGATAATAAATTATTCCGTGGACGAAGAAGCTTTACGGTCTTTGGAAAAGTTGGAGTTTAAAGTCTACTACAAATTGGGAAGGGTGACTATTAAAGTTTTGGACTATGATAAAGGTTACTAAGAGAGATGTTTTAAGAAATACGAAAACTACACATTTTGACATTCCTACCTACATTATTATTTACAAGTGAAAAACAGTAGGTAAAGAAGTTTGAAATTTATATATTTTAAATATCTTTTTAAATGGGAATTTTTTAATAAAATATTAATGAATTTGTAATTACGTGTGTTTGTTATATCTACGGGTTGTGCAAAATGGACCTGATGATTCCTCCCAACAAACTTTGAAATTGTGGCAAGGTGTTGGCCTTTCAACGAATGTGATGGCAAAGTAACATGCAATGGTAAAAACATTATGGTCCTTCTAAAATTTGTAATTAACTGCTTTTAAGCTTATGAATCATTAAAGGCTTTTTAACTGTATCTTACAAATATTATATACTTGGTGTGTATAATTAATTCCTAGTTGGCTCTGAGGTATATCGTATATCCCCAAAATGGAGAGAGGTATAAGTGGTATTCATACCCAAACCCGAAAAGTTGATCTCTGGACAATAGGAAGTCTGCCTTGGGTGTTTTCATAGACATAGAAGGTACTTTTGACAAAACCACCTTCCCCAAGATAATACACTCACTAACTAAAAGGAACGTTCCACAGATAATTAGTGGGTCGATACATAACATGCTCTCAAGCAAGCAGTAAACATAAGTGTAGAAAATGTAAATATAAGAGGCTTGGTTGCAAGGTGATATCCACAGGGAGGGGTGCTATCACCTCTACTCTGAAACATGGTCCGCGACACCCTCAACAGCCGCCTCAATAACGGCAGTCACTACACAACAGCGTATGCAGATGACCTTGTTATTCTGCAAATAGGAAATTTTGAGAACATACTCTGCGAAAGAATGCAAGTAGATCAACCATTCGTTGTCTGTTAATCCCAAAAAGACAGAAATGGTCCTTTTCGCAAGGAAAAAGATAAACATGGAATTAAAACCTCCAGAGCCCCTAAACACAAAACTGAACTTTGCAACAGAAGTGAAATACCTAGGTTTCACGTCTCACCTTTGACACCAAGTTAAGGAACTCACACTTAAAAAACAGAGTCAAAAAGAGTATAGTTGAATAAGGATAATTTCCTGACCATAGTAAATTTTTATATAAAATAAAAAGTTCCTAGGTTTATTCGGTCAATAGTTTTTATTTTTTATTAATTAAGCATTACATGTGTACGAGCCGTATGTAGCTTTTGAAATCTCAAAATTTGAAGCGTCGAAGACGCTCGGTCCCCCGGTTCTATAAATAAAATATTGAAAAAATGTGTTCTGACTTCCTCACAACAACCAGTGGAAAAGAATCAAAAACAAAACTGTTACAAAATGTAGTCCGCTTAATGGAAATAAAAGTGTTGGGTTTGTCTCAGTTTTGTTTTTGTTTTTCAAGTTCCAGAAAACACAAACAAAACATAAATTCAACTATATTGTTACTTTATAAAAGGAGACCTCCTTTTCTAAATTTTTTTTCTTACACCTTTATTTATATTTTTTTCTTGTAGTTCTTGGGTTTTTAGGTGTTGGTTGAGGAATGAAACTCGTGTTAAGGTAAAGCTTTCGGCACTGCTCAGTGCCTTCTTCAGTAGTTTTTTAAATTTTTTAAATATTTGTACATTATTAACAGTTAATTATTCTTTAGTACATTATGGGGTGTGTAATTATAGTTTTTAAATGTTTTAAATCCTTTTATATTATGCTGTAATTGATTTTTATTGTCGTGTCCGGTTTTGATGCTGTGGTATCCGTTGTCAGTTGTCAGTTTGAATTCTGGACCTTTATGAGGGCCCGCAAGCGTAAAAAAGGGAGTAACAACACCCTGACTATCGAAACTGACAACGGATACCACAGCATCAAAACCGGACACGACAATGACAAAAATCGATTACAGAATAATATAAAAGGATTTAAAACATTTAAAAACTATAATTACACACCCCATAATGTACTAAAGAACAATTAACTGTTAATAATGTACAAATATTTTAAAAATTAAAAAAACTACTGAAGAAGGCACTGAGCAGTGCCGAAAGCTTTATTACCTTAACACGAGTTTAATTCCTCAATCAACACCTAAAAACCCAAGAACTACAAGAAAAAATATAAACTCAACTGTTCGTTTAGTGGAAAACCGTCTTTACATTTTTTTTATTGCAGGTATATTTCAATTTTATTGATTTATCCGATTTGCGGAGAACTTGTTTTTCTAAGGGAGAAATGAATCCCGGGATTCCTTTCCAGTGTGTGCCATACTGCCGCTAGTGCCCACGAGCCGCCACTGGTTTAGACTAACAATAAGACGAAACCATAACGTGAAATGTTGAAAAAGTATACATTAATAAATTTAATTTTTGGTTAAACGCATAAATAATAATTTTATTTGTTAGAAAACTTATAATTATTTATTTTCGTCAAATTAATACATTCAAATGACCATTAGCTCGCGTACCAGTTCAGTTTAAGGGCGCTATTCTAGGAATATCAACAATTTTAGGTAGACAATATTTACGAATTACTTATTTTCTTACGGTAACTAACCATCAACATATTTAAAACCATTGAAGTATGATACATGTTGCAACTGCAGTATCTAAATAACTTTAAACATATACAGGGTGGCTCACGCTCAACGGGACGGAGCTTTATGGGAAAACGACCAAAGATATAAAAAATTAGTTTGGGAGGAATACGTAGGTTACAGACGGCTACAATTTAAAATTTGTAAGATGTATACAGGATGTCCCACATAAGAAAAAAAATTAGTTCATTAAAAATTATTCAAACAAGAGTAAACAATTAATTTCTGGGAGACTTTTTTCCTTAAAAATTCAAATAAATCGAAAACTAATAATAATAGTAATAGGGAACCTTTAGTTAACTGACATTATTTTTGATGTAGTTTTTAATTCTAAAATAAAAAACAGGGTGTTCCATTAAAAATAATATAACTTTGTATATTTTCTCTTATGTGGGACATCCTGTATACATCTAACAAATTTTAAATTGTAGCCGTCTGTAACCTACGTATTCCTCCCAAACGAATTTTTTATATCTTTGGTCGTTTTCCCATAAAGCTCCGTCCCGTTGAGCGTGAGCCACCCTGTATATGTTTTATAAAATAATTTCGAACAATATAGCAAATTCACAATTAGCACATTAGCAAATACACCTACCTGAAAAGATAAATACAAAAAATAAAATACTGGTGGCACTCGGGGACTGCCGCGGTAAAGCTATTGCATAGAATTTTTGTATCAACTTATGCAATTATAATTATTTATTTATTATTTATTTTATTTATGCAGTATTTTTTTTCTTTGATATTAATTCAAGTTACACTTTTTGAGCGTGGTGACCGATAAGAAAACAATTTTTTTTCTTTTATTGAATAAATGAGAAGTTAATAGTGTTTAAAATATTTTTATTATCTTACAATACATGTAGGTTATGCAGGAATTTGTATCATTGAAACTATAGGTTCATGGTAACTGAAATAAGAAACATAAGTTTGAGACTTGATATCCTCTAAATATCTGGAAAATACCACGTCAATGGTGGTCCCATATTTTGTTGTGGATTCTCGTGGATCATAACCCAGACAACACACCAAATCCCAGAGATATCCACAGAATATCTTTTGTGGATATCGAATATATCTACAGGATATCAGAAATATTCCGTGGATCTAATATGGATATCCAAATGTCCGTCTATATCCAGAATATAGAAGATATCCTAATGGATATTCAGCAAAATATCTAATGGGTATCTTCCAGAAAATACAAGAAACCCCAGAGATATCCACAGAATATATTTTGTGGATATTCAATATATCCAATATGGATATCCAACCAAATGTATGTCTATATCCCAGGATATAGAAGATATTCGGATATTCAACAAAATATTTTATGGGTATCTTTAGTAGAGGTTCATAAGTAACCATTGATTATTGAATAACGTCGAAAGAAAATAGCAGAGATAAAAAATATTTTCAACACTCAAAATATTTTCAACACTCTGCCTTTGATTTTGCCCACTAAGGAGAAAGTCATCCTTATTAAGACTCTTCAGCAATAAATGGAAATTCTCGACTCCAGTCCCTAAAGGAGTCTGTAGGACAAAAATTTCGATCGAACTCTATTACGGCGGGTCGAGCATGAGTAGATACGATAGTGGCATCGCCATCTATACCTAGTAAGCAGAATCAAATAACATCTAGTGGATATCCACGATGGTTTGCGATCGCGCCTAGACTTTGATATATTTAGTGGATGTTCATGGGATATTGAATACACCTTAAAAAATTAATTTTAAATATCTGAACGGTACTATTAGCCACAATGGCGAGCACAATGGCGTATTTTTTTAATAATTTGCTATATAATTACTATTAGCCCAAGAGCCCACTGCAAATTTTTACCGTCATCTGATAACGAAATGAAATATACCTCAAAAGCATGGAAAAACATTGTACTTTACCAAATGGCACCTGTGCCAATCCCTATCCTGAGCAAAGTAGCTTAAAAAAATTATTTTATATTAAATAAATCACATAACGCATGACAGCTCTAATTTCGTTTGCCCTTAAAGTTTTTCAGAAAATAACATTCAAATATATCTTGATATATATCGTTAAAGGCAAATATTTTCTTCCTCTTAACATCGCACAAAAACATCTATCCACGATTAGTAGGTAAATATCTTAAAAAATATGAATCAATGTTTGCTGATTTAAAAATTTATTTGTATGCCTATTGTTGTGATTCATTTTTACAGGTTGCCCTAGAAACGACAAAAAAACTACTATGATTATGGTTTAAAATAATTGTCTAACAAGAGTTTATAAATATTATTGCATATCTCTGCAAATGGTTTATACAATACCGTCCTTCTTCCTTTCATACATAAACATGGTTTAAAAGGTAGGTAAAAATATTAATAATTCAGGTTTAAAAGCGAGATTCGCAATGAATTAGGATTGTAAATTTCAGGGAAAACATAATTGTCGCTGTCATGTTTTATTTGATTTTTAGAATATAAAATAATTTTTTTTAACCACTTTGCTCAGGATAGGGATTGGCACAGGTGCAATTTGGTAAAGTACAATGTTGTTACATGCTTTTGGAGCATATTTCATTTCGTTATCAGATGACGGTCGAAATTTGCAGTGGGCTCTCATACTATATTATTTATGGACATTTGCATGTCTATAAATTACATCTCATGGATATAAAATATATATCTACCATGGACTGGACATTCAGTGGATATTGGGATGTTCAATAGATATCCAAAGGATTTGGTGTGGTGTCTGGGTATTCATTTTCAAATTCAATTTTTACGAAATTGCGTCTAGTCGCATACGTCTAGTCGCACGCACACAAACACCGTGCCGAAGTCTGCCGAACTGAAACGTTAGACGATGCACGGCTTTCAACGCCGCACCGCTGTGCCGGTCGGAGTGAGGGGTGTAAGGTTTATTTTCGTTGCGAAATTTCTGTTTCGATTTTTCGAATATTCGATTTTTCGATTTTTCGATTATTTGATTTTTCGATTTTTCGATTTTTCGATTTTTCGATTTTTCGATTTTTCGATTTTTCGATTTTTCGATTTTTCGATTTTTCGATTTTTCGATTTTTCGATTTTTCGATTTTTCGATTTTTCGATTTTTCGATTTTTCGATTTTTCGATTTTTCGATTTTTCGATTTTTCGATTTTTCGATTTTTCGATTTTTCGATTTTTCGATTTTTCGATTTTTCGATTTTTCGATTTTTCGATTTTTCGATTTTTCGATTTTTCGATTTTTCGATTTTTCGATTTTCTTTTATTGAATAAATGAGAAGTTAATATTGTTTAACGCCGCACCGCTGTGCCGGTTGGAGTGGGGGTGTTTTTTTTTCGTTACGGTCTTTACGGAATTTCTTGATTCGGTCGCCGCACTCAAAGCCCGCGATAAAAGCTATGCAATAGCTTAATAAATTAAAAAACTCTTAATTCATTTTAAAATGACCAATATATTACCTGGCGATAAAAAATGCTTGCGAAAAATTGCTTAGGCGATCAATTGCTACGGCGGTAAACTACTAGCGGTCAATTGTGGGCGGTCAATTTTCCTAGACCCGTATTTATGGTTCCTATCCGGTAATTGGATTCAAACCTGTTGGATAGTGTAATAAAAAAATCTATACACTTAATTATAAACTACTTTTTAAAACAACTACTTGGTCAATTTTTTTTTATTTATTTATATTTATATACAATTTAAACTAATTTACTATCAGACACGGACAAGAGCGATCTTCTTGACCGTCTATACTCATTTGATTTAATCCAAGGATGATTACTAATTTGCAACGTATTAATCCTCAAACTCATATTTGGTTCTAAAAGCAAAATTATCAACCGCTTCATATTAGCAGAGCACCATTCCCAAAAGTAATCGAAATTCTTAATGTTCCTATTCATCTGATCTTTAACCATCTGTCTGATATCGGTATCGTCGAAAGGCATGGACGCCGTTACCATAACATACAATATGCAACCCAAAGCCCATATATCGTACTTCTTGGGATCATAGTACTTTCCTTGAAGGATTTCCGGAGCCGCGTACGCAGCTGATCCGCAAAATGTATTGGAAAGGATTTTTTTACCGAATTCGTTGATGCAGTACCTAGCGAAACCAAAATCGCCTAGTTTTACTCTATTGGTGGATACTAGAAAGATGTTTTCACATTTGATGTCTCTATGTGCCACGTCCAAGCAGTGAAGATAATGGACGGCTTCTAAAACTTGCTTGAATAATATTCTAGTTTTTTCTTCTGTAAAAGCACCGTGTTCTCTGATGTACTCAAGTAAATCGCCATATTTGCAATAATCCATAAACACGTAAACATTATGCGGCGACTGTACGACTTTGTAAAAACTAACAATATTCGGATGATCAATAAACGATATAATCTTCAACTCTCTGGGCAGAAACTTCTGGATATACTCATCTCCGGATGACTTCTTGTTGATTATCTTGCAAGCAACTTTCTTTTGTGTGACTGGGTTGATGGCGAGACAAACTTTGCTGTAGGTGCCTTTCCCGATTACTTTGCCCATGTGATATCCAGACATTTTAGAAACCTTCGGTGAATAGCGGTCCCATCTTTTGGTACTCGATCTTTTGGACATTTCACATGCGATCGAGATCGGATTGAATTTTGTGTAAATGATGGCTGTCAATTTTGGCATAAACCCACAGGACATGGAAAGGCGTTTTTACCTCAGATAAATAAATAAATAATAGAATCATGCAATATTTGTAACCAGCATCTCCTCTCACTATATAGCAGTGGTTACACGACTTGATTGGATATTCGCTATTTTGGTTACACACCTGATTGGTTAGCAAAAAATTGACAGGACTACGTTAGTTAGGTTAGTTATTTTATGGTTATTTTGTGGTTCATTTTGAGTGTATTTCGTACTTTAATTGAAAAATTTTTGTGCTTTAAGTTATTTTAGTGCATTTAATTGCTTAAAAATGCCAGTGAATTGTATTGTGTGCTCGAGAAAGTATCTCAAATTCAGTTCGATAACGTTTCATAGGTAAGTAAATAAAAACCATTACCGTTGCATCACACTTTTTTGAGGGGTATCATAATTCAAAATAAAGTTTAAACAACAATTTATTTTAAAGTTTAAAATAACATTCAACGTCGAATTTCGAATTATTTTATTGTGCCTGTGTTTAATAACTTTGAATTTATTAATAGGCTATCTTTAAATTAAAGTTATATTGTTATGCACACTGTACATTTAAGAAGGCTCTAGTGGCATTTACTTTAGTTATAAAATCTTAGTATTGCTTTATTTTAATGACAAAATATATTGTTAGAACACCATAGTTATTTTAAAGTATACTATGTTGCATTCTGTATTACATGAAATCCTATATACCTATATGAATAAGAAAACACTATTTATACCTATTTAGGTTTCCAAAAGATATATGTGGATGAAGAGTTTGGGTATACGTGAGGATGAAGAGTGTATTCAGTAGAATTTGTTCAAGACATTTTGAGGATTCTGCCTTTGCTAAGTCTCCAGGAGGAAAAATGTTTTTAATGAAAGGAGTAATGCCCTTATTTTACTCACATCCTGAAGCTGTTCCTCAACTGGAAACTATGTCACATTCTAAACCTTCTACATCTGAAACTAAGTGAGTATTTGAACAAAAACTATAAATAATAAAAACGTTTTTTTGTCTTTGTTTAATTAATTTGAAGTATTAGTACGGGAACCAATAAATTTTGTAATTTTTTAATTACCTATTCATATTTTAATAACACAATAATATATGTAATTATTATGATATGATTTTTCTTATTGTCTAAATTAAAATAGGTTTTATTGATCTCAAGTGAATGTATATTATATTTACTTATTATATAGTTACACGTCACATAATTAATTTAATTTGTAAATTGTGTAGTAGGAAAATGGTTGCCAGTATCGCATCATTCTGGAAATATCTAATTCGTATTCTTGGAGACGTCTTTCAAAGTCATCCGTTTTTTCCACAGGTACAGTCTGAAGAACATCTAAAGCATCCCCTTGAAAGGCGATGCATTTACTGACTTAAAAAATAATTGGGCAGTATAAGAACCGATAATTGGATCAATCTCGTAAGGCTAAGACACGCTAAGATACTTCTGGGTGAATATAACCAGAAAACCATGGCAGGAAACATCGGAAGCCTGTGTGAGATCTGTATACCCATTTATAAATGGTAATGTTAGTACCCGTGACGCCATCTATGTTTCAGCTTCATATAAGTTTCTCCTTATATCACAGTGATCTGTAGTCTGTGACTCCGTAGAATTATAGATCGTACGTAGATGCCGCCACGAGTACTAAATAAGAGTCAGATGCGCATTGTCTTGTATTACAAGTTCGTATTTCATCTTGAGTTTTGTCTTGTATTATAACCATTACTGAATTACTGTGTTTATCAGAATACTAGAGAATAAAAGCTTACAACAAGGTGTTGTTTTATTGAGTAGTGTATAAATAAGGCATACATCACAGCCTGCATCTGCCTGAGCAAGAACAGGCTTCTTATTGTAACAGGGATCCTTACCGGGCATTATCGACTTAAAGGACACCTTAGTAAACTGAGAGTAGTAGAGGATAGTGAGTGCAGATTCTGTGAGGAGGAGGACGAAACCTCCATTCACATTCTAACTGAATGTGTAGTACTCCAGAATCCAAGGGCACTATACCTAGTAGGAGGATATCAAATAGAAAAGAGAGAGAGATTTAGGTACCTAACACGAAGCCACTCCAAATCCTACACTTCCTTGGGAAGATAGGATTGGAAGGGTCGTTATAGGCATTGAGACATTTCCTTGGTGCATTAGCGACAGAAGGGGCACAATAGATCTTTTAGGTCGCAGTGTATTAACACCCCATCCCAACAACATCTCAAGTGAATGTATATTATATTTACTTATTATCACGTCTCATAATTAATTTAATTTGTAAATTGTGTGGTAGGAAAATTGTTGGGTTTTATTTATCTGTAGTTAATGAATATTAGTTTTAGTTATCTAGGTACCTGTCACATAATTATTTGATTTATAAATTAGGTATGTGAAAGGAAAATTGTTGGCAACTAAATTATTATAATCACCCCATTATCCATTATTAATTGTTATTAAACCAACTGAGTACAATAACACAACGTCTCTAAAAAATTGCTTAACGTTGTTCTATTTCTAACTGACAAGTATTCATCGAAATTAAGTTTTATTATTCAAAATATTGTGTATTAGAAAACCTTGGCAATATTTTAAAACGGTGTAATTATGAACTTATCATTTATTACATAAGTATCGCTTTATTCTAAACTGTTATTATAACATTTGTCTTTGTTTTGTTTTCCAGATCTAACCCAAGTTTAACCCTACTTTCCCAATTATTAAAAACCATAAGTATTTTGTGCACAAAATTTAATTAACTTAAAAGGGTCTAACAATAAACAGATACTTTATTCTATTTTTTATTACATATATAAGCGGTACTCATAACAAATCAATAAAAATAATTTACAAAAGAATCGATATTATTAAAAAATATTAGTACAAAAATTTAGAATTTATAAAACTATCATTGCAACGTTTATTCAAATTATTTGTGTATAAAAATAATGTATGTTTTTAATTTAAAAAATATATGTATTGGTCGACTGAAAAATTCATTTTTGACGGTTTTCTATAAACATCTCATATTAGAAACATTGATCCATTGAAATATCTCAAAACTAATAAAATAATATAAATCGAAAGCATTTCTATTGACATTTATTTGATACGCTACTGGATAATAAAACTAACAAACCCCGCTCTTCCCCTCCTAACAACTGGCTTGTATATGTTGCTTTCAAACAAACGCAATGTAAATTTTTGACATTCAGTTATCTATTATTATTTATTTATCTGAGGTTTTTACTCGCCACTTTTGGTGTCAAAGCCTTAGAGCATATAAGACTAGAGATATCATTCCATGTATTTTGTTATGTATAAGCGTGGTCATTACTTTAGATGTGAGGGGAGAGGGGTAGGTACGCCATTCTCAATGGCGTACGGTTCGAAAGGCTTCGTATTTATGTTTACAATTTATAGAGTGTAATGTCACAATAACTAATAATTTATATAACTGATTCACATCATTAAGGGCCCATCTTTTCACCTCTAAGTAAAGTTACACTCAGAGCTGTCACCTATCAGTGAGATTTAAATCATTTTTTGATTTAAATACATTTTTTGATTTAAATACTTTGATTTTAAATCTTTTTTAAAAAAATGATTTTTGAATTAATAGCGGATTCGACTGGCTGCATTAATGCGCATTTAGTTCGACTTTTTTAAGTGGTATTTGTTCGACTGGCAGAACCTAATTAATTAAAAGTCAATTATTGCATTCGACTGAAATTGCTCGATACCAAGGCATAGTGAAATTTTTGTTCGACTGGCACGCGCTTTTGCTCAAAGTTCGAATTTTTTGGAACTGTACTTTTTTTCAGTGCCAGTGTCATTTTGGAGGTTAGGATTTATTTAATATTTTTAAATATATTACCATCTTCTTTATTATTATTGAGAATGGAAAATCTTTGAAATTAATAGAGATTTAATTTTTGGTTTGGCAACTATAAATAAATATCGTTAAAAATTTGTTAGAAACCTGAAATGTCAAATGTTAACTGTGCCAGTCGAATAACGATAAAGATGAGCTACACCAAAGTCGAACTGTACTCGTATTTGCTGTATGCACTGCTAGATTTAAATTTGAATTATAAAAATGTTGCCCAAAATTAATTCAGAACTGAAAGCGCTTTGTCATCGGGCAAGAACATTTGAGTCGAATCCGCTATATGATTTAAATCTTTTTGAAAAGTATCTTTGATTTTTTATTTAAAAATTAGATTTAAATCTTTTTAAAACGATTTAAATCTTTTTAAAACGATTTAAATCTTTTTAAAACTATTTAAATATTTTTAAAACGATTTAAATCTTTTTAAAACTATTTAAATATTTTTAAAACGATTTAAATCTTTTTAAAACGATTTAAATCTTTTTAAAACGATTTAACTCTTTTTATTGATTTAAATCTTTCTGAAATGATTTAAATTTTCTTAAAGATTTAAATCTTTTTTAAGATTTAAATCTTTTTAAAACGATTTACATCACCTGATTCGTTAAAATCGTTATCAAACTGTCTATTTCTGAATAATAATCTAGTCAGCATGTCAGTAGGGTTGAATCCGAAATCCGAGAGAAAAGAAAAACAAAAAATAGTAAAGTGTAACAAATAATTGCAATGACTAAAGATTATTTTTAAGTATGAAATTTTACAATATCCTGAAACTCTTAACATATGTATTTTAAATTTATGCACCTTTTATTTCAGATTTGACATGAGTTGCATTAAGACGATTATGACTTTTTGACCAGTTTAATAAACACGCTTGGCATAGATAGAGCGAATTAATTAAATTTTTTATTTCTTTGGCTGATTCATCCACACATTTTTCAAAAAAATTAACCCAAACGCGCTCACTTTGGTTATTTATTTACTTGCAATAACTTCACGTTGAGAGAAGAACTCTTTTAATTCAACCCAGTCATTTGGAGTGAGGGTAGCCATATGTGAGTAATAATGTGAGTAATAAACACTTAACACTTAATCAACCCAGTCAATTTCATTATTCATAAGCGGAAGATTTTGAAAATGAAATGCATTTTTTCGGGAGAGT